GACCATGCTGTTTCTCCCATGATGTTCCCAGGTTCCGCTGAGGCAAACTCCCTGAGAGCTCTGCTCTCCATGGCTTCTACTCTCCTGTGGCTCCATTTCTGGGTGCCAAAGTTGGTGGGGCTGGGGTGGAAGGAGGTGGGGAGCCTAGGCAGTGTGGTTCTGCAGGGTACAGGCAGCTGCTTCTGTGCTTGCGGCTTGGGGATGGCAGCTGTGGGTGCAGTGGAGGCTGCAGAGGCCCAGAGGGCTCGTGCTCATTGTGGTTTCCAAAGCCTAGGCATCACCAGGTCCCAGGTCCCCATCTGTGTCTGTAAGTCTAGCACCTGGTGCACCCTGCAGTGCACCTGCTCCCAGCCATATCTGTCTTACATAGTGAGAGCTACATCTGTCCCTTATGCAATGCCTGCTGCCATCCAGCCTGGGGACACGCCCGGTTCCACGTACCCATGTGCCTGTCACCACTACTGGGCACCTGACACTCAGGGGCAGGAAACACAAGGAGAACATGCAGATGTGGGAGGTGTCCATGGAAAGCCAGGGATGCTTCCTCCAAGGACAGGCACCCAAAACTGCTTGCTCCCTCGGCTGAGCATGCAGTGGGCTGTGCAGAGTCTGGACACTCCTGCCAGTGCCTTCCGCCACCTTACAAGTCATCAACACAGCAGACTCCAGCAGGCTGTACCCTGTCTTCCTGTCTCTCCCTTGTGCCTGGGAGCTTTCCTGGTCAACAGTAGTTGCTGAACCATCGGATGGCCTATGTGAGGCTATGCCTGTCCCTGTGGCCCCAAGTGGCACCTTCATAGTGGAGCTCATGTTTCTGAAAGAATGGTGACCATGACGATGATCACGAACCACAGGAGAGGCCTGGGAGGCCCTGCATTCCATTGTCCTGCTGCAGGAGTGTGGCTGAGAGAGAGGCAGTGACAGTGGCAACCAGTCTCAGGTCCTGGAGACATGTCATGAGATTGGAAGGGGTGGATATAGGTCACCTCCACGGCAGGCAGAAGGTGCCATCTTGAGTCACTGCGGAGGACTCTCTGTCCCGATGGATGGCTTTCTTGCTGCTCTGCCCACCATGGTGAGTGTCCCCAGTCCCCCTGAGGATGGGTCCTTTTGGATTTTATTCAGTCTTAATTAAAGCAGCCACACCTGTGTGTTGAACAATGCAGATATGAAGGGCACTGGTCTGAAGGAGTTGTAAACATTGAGAAAGATCCTCCAACTCCCTGTGCAATGGCGCCCCAAGCCAGGCACCCTGTGCAGTAGAGCCTTGCTGGTCTCAACCTTCGTTTCCTTTCCAGCTGCCTCCCACGTTCCCCTCTTGTGAGGAGCGGGGTCTGAGGCCTCAGATGCAGCATAAACAGTGAAAGACGTGAGTCTAGGAAAGTCTGTAGGTGGCAGCCTGGGTGCTGCCTGGTGCTTTCCTGCTGCAGAGGCCATGTTGGACACTGCGCCTGCCAAGGGGCCACATGCAGAGCAAGGGGGGGACTCTGCAGTAAGGCCATGATCCGTGCAGAGGGCAGGGATGAACCCACACCATCCTACAGCAGCCAGGGGAACGGCCACAAGCACACAGGACGATGCTTGGCATCATGTATGATACAGGCTGAGGCCGTTTAGGACGCTGCCTCACACCCTCAATACAGCAGCACTGAAAAGACCAGGGCTGGCCAGGAGAGACCAGGGGAGAAGCCAGAACTCCTGAGCTTTGTGGGAACTATGAGTAAAACAGACTTGCTTCTTGATCTAACAGTTCCACTCCTAGGAATTCACCCCAAGAACTCAAGGCTAGGATTCAAGCAGGTGCTGGAACAGCCAGGTTTGTAGTATCACCGATCACAATAGCTAAAGGGGAACACCACTGATGTCCATCAACACTAGGCTCTACCAGATGGGGGAGTATTATTCAGTCATGAAAAGGAAGAATCCTGACCCATGTGGTCAGCCCTGGGGAGCCATGCTCAGGTTCACTAGCTGGTCACCGAAGGACAAATACTGCCTCATTCGACTTATATGGGAGGCTGAATCTAGGTTCCTGAACAGAAGAAACAAAACAGCAGGGAGGTCCCTGTCCCCTACTCAAGCATACGGTGTGTAGAGGAAAACAGCAACATGAACCACACGTGGCCAGGGTCACAGGTCCCACTGTCTGCTCACAGGTGTGTGCTCAGCTGGCTCAGAAGAGTGCCCCCAACAGGCTGGGCGTTCATAGGAGTTTGGCACCTGTGGTCCGGCAGGGCTTACACTCTGCATGACAGCAATGTGAGAGACTGGGCCATGCCATCCACAGCAGGGCTCCTCAATTATCTGGTGGGTATGTTCTGGGGTACAGACATGAGGCCAGGCACCAGGTTCTGCACCACCCTAGCTGTGCCGCCTGCCACGCCTCACCTCTGCTGGGCCGTAGTGGGCCTGCCAGCTAAAACGTGAGGAGACAGGAAAACTCTGGGCTTGGAGGGGTGAGGACACACAGAGGGCAACCTGGCTGGAATCAGCTTCTGCTGAGAGTGAGCTGAGCCCCCCAGCAGGAGGGGGCCGAGCTGCCTGGACCCCATTTGTCCCAAAAGCAGCAACATTGGCAGGCTCCACTTCCCGCAGCCACGTACTCCCAGAGTGTGAGCCGTCTGCTTTGGTTTCCAAGTGTGTCTTTGTCTGCTTGCTAATAAACTCAACAGTGGAGAGAGTGCTGAAATGATTCTGTGGTTGTTCTTCAAGCCTCACGCTCACCCTGGCCTTAATCCCTGAAAGGCTGAGTGAGCCCTGCCCGACGCCGCACAGCTGGGCCCTGGACGTGCCCAGCCCGAGCAGAGCCTCGGATGCTGGTGGGGCCTGCGAAGGAGCGCTTTGCAAAGCATTCTTTGGGGGCTCACACAATTCATTCCTTTCAAGAAAGGGAAACAGGAAGAAAGGCTTCGTGTCCAGGGCTTTGGGCCTTTGATCATTTGATGAACGCTGGGCTGCAACGTGGGCCTCCAGCTTCTCAGGCCAGACAAAGACAGGCCCGGCAACACTGGACAAAACCCCAGCAGCCTTTCGGGGGCGGCCTGGGAAAGGCCGCTCGCCCTTTGATCTCTCCCGAGACCACGGGGCCAGGTCAGGGGATTTCATACCGGGAAGGTCAGGAGCAGAGAGAGGGCGAGCAGTCTCAGAGAAAGCCGCAGCCAGCCCTCGGCCTGCTCCACACGGTTAGGCTTGCCCTGCGGGATGCCGAGCCCACACTTTGAATAGAATCTGATGCTGCATGGTTGCATGGTGTGGTGAGCCAGCACACCGGACAATAGCAGGCCTTCTGGGTCAGCCAGAAAGCATCTCCCTGTGCTTGCTCCTGTGGGAGGGAACCTATACCCCAGAAACTCCACCTGGCATCACAGAGGGGCTCCCTGCAGGGCCCTGAGTCGGTAGAACCTACTTGGTGCCCTTCCCTGCAGAGGAGCAAGTATCCCTTCTCATAGGTTGTATGTGTTGTTAGTGACACCACCTCGATATGCCTATCAAGGCAATGCATGGGTGAAACGGTCCACATTATTCTGGGGTATTTTGAGCAATAGAAGGAAAATATATTTGAGAGAGACAGAGGGTGGGTGATAAAGGAAGAACTGGTAAACTGTCCATACCTCTGAGCTCCAATTTGCAAAAGAAAGGGTGTTAAAGGAAGAGACAGCAGTACTAACAAAGACAAAATTACTTTGAATCAGAAGTTGGGATCTTGTTATATTCTGAAACCAAAAGCTACCGAGAACGGCAATCACAGAGCACTGTATCTGTCTGGGCTTGGCCTGTGCCCATCTTTAACATTTAGCTAATTCAGGTTAGCACAGAAACCAGCTTCCCATGTCCAGGCTGTAGCAGAGAAGGGTGGTGCGACCTGGCCCTAGCCACCAGGAACCTCACGTGACTCAGCCCAGCCGCAGGACTGTGTAAGTCACGGGCTTCTGTTACCCATTCCCACACCTGCACCATCAGCTAAAGAAGGGCTCTGGATTTTATTGTTGTTACCAGAAGAAAATGGAACAAGAAAGATGCCTACTGTGCACCTGTGTACAGTGTGAGGAAACCCATGTCCACACCCCAGGCCTGTGGAGGGAGTGTGACCCGCCCAGAGGGGTGATGTCTCCAGGGCCTGTGTGTTCAGAACCAGGGGAGACTGCAACACAAAGCACCACCTATCTCTGTGTTTCCCATGACCCTGGATTCCAGCATGTACTATGGGAAAGGCCTGGGTGGGGAAGCCAGGTGTACTCACGGCAACTCAATGCCTGGGACCGGAGGGCAGGTCCTCAGGAACCTTGCTCCAGACACCACCTGTAGTTCCGGCTCTTGTCCCATTTTCCTGGGGATACTGGAAGCCCTGCCCCTCACTTCCTTGCAGGGTCCTTGGCCCTGGGCTGAACACCTTCCAGAGGGGGCAGAAGTGGCTGCAGTGCGTGCTGAGCCACTGCCATGGCCCTGCACTCCCTAACATCCCTGATGCAGAATGCCTCGCTCCCCGAACACTCTATTCTGAGAGGAGGAATTTGGGGTCTTGGTAGAGGGCTTGAGTAGCATGCACAAGACCCTAGGTTCCACCCCAGCACTGCAGTTAAGAACATTCCTTTGAGACAAGGGAGTTTATGCTGGATGACAGGAGCACCAGAGATTTTTTAGGAAACCAAGTTCAGTCAGCAAACACAGCTTTAACAGCAGCGAAGACAGTAAGGATGTCTGAGCCTGCTGAGGTCTGTTAAGATTCAAGCTATGCTCTCCTGGGCTCTGATGGAATCTCAGAGTGAATGTGGTGCATTCTTATCAAGGCCCTACTATGTTCCCAGCATACGCAGGCTGCTAACAAAGGCCCAACTGGAAACATAAACGTGCTTGCTGTAAACAGCCTTCAAATGATTCAGAAAAGGGACAACAATCCGCAGATTTTCTCTAAGGACTCCAGTGAGTATCGTGCCCTGCGTTGCCGTGGCAACACTTCCCATTTCTGAGCCACAGCAAAGCAGCCAGTTGTGCGTTCTCACCTTTGGCCATCTTATTGAGAACCATGTCGATCAGGATGTAGGTTCCACTCCTGCCGGCGCCGTCGCTGTCAACAGAAGGAGAGACAGTGTGAATACATCCCACAGGCCAGCAGCAGTGGAGCCTTTGTGGGGATGGCGAGGGAGAGGGGAGGGCACAAGGGCCTTGGGGACTGGCCATTGTGTGTGGTGTATTTGTTTTCTTTTCCTCCACCCTCTGGCCAAAGATGGGCTAAATCTTGTCAGGAAACAAAGGAAATAAAGAAACATATGGCTGGGTCGGAAGTGATGGCGTCAGATTACAAATGCCTACGACTGCACTGTCCTGCACCCAGAGGGTACCTGGCCCTGGTGGATGCCGTCCCTCCACTCAGTGGTACAAACGGATTGTTCCTGAGCTGCGGTCCTGCAAGGAGCCCTCACTGTCTCCTTCATTCTACCAGCCAGAACAGGGATATTATTTACCATTTGGGTTGGTTTTCAATTGTCATAACAGCTAACTGAAGGGCTCGCGTGGACCACTCCTTCTCTGTGGTACTGAGATAGGCACAAGACCAAGCGCGGTCTGACCATGTGCTCATGGCAGTGTTGATTGGCATGTGGAGGCCATCCAGACTGCACTGTTGTTCCTACCAGAACCAAGGTGACTTTGAGGAAAGCAAGAATGTTCCCATTTCAAGACTTTAAGAAGTTGGCAGGGCACAGTGGCACACGCCTGTAACCTCACTTGGGAGGCTGAGGCAAGAGGGCGACTGTGAATTGAAGGCCATTTTAGGCTACAGAATGAGTTCAAGGCCAGTCTGAGCTACATAGTGAGACCTTGTCTCAAAAAACAAATAAAATGAAACAAAACAAATAAGACGTACATAACTGGGGCCAGGTGTGGTGGTGGAGTTCTAGAGTCTGAGGCTGAGGAAAAATTAAAGGGGTGGGATCGGAATCTTCCCAAACTGAGGCCCAGCCTGGGCAACTTGTGATTTGCAAGATTCTGCCTTAAAATAAAAATTAAACAAAGACTGAGGGTGTAGCTCAGTGCAAAGATCCTGTGTCCCATCCTCAGGGACATCTTAAAAAAAGAAGCACACGACTGGCAAACAGCTGTGCCCTCAGTTTCTGGTCAGCATGCTGGCTGGGGTGCCCTGGGAGTCGGGGTGAGCCCCCAGCTAGTCTTTCACAGTGACAAGCCCCTGAGTTTGGCTTTCACACTGAGAAGCTGCTGCTGGAAAGAGAAATAACTCACACTTTGTGCTTCTGTCCACAGCCATCTCGCTACGTGGTCATGGAAGACACACTCACCCTCCCTCACTGTGTGACCCAACACTTGTCCTAAGAGGTCACATCATATGCATGTGCCAGTACCATGTGCCACATGACTGTTGCGAGATGCTGCGCGAGCTTCTAGAGAAGGCCCTAGCTTGGTGTCTATGGGCAAAGGAGGCACAGCCACTTGGGAGTGCAGGGGACAGAGGTATAAGCGCACAAATGTGTATTCCTACAGAGATCTGGGCCTTGACCGCTGGAGACAGGCTTCCTTTTTATTCCAGGCAGAAAGCTTCATTCCGTGACGCATTCTGTAAAGTGGAGTCTCACACCAGGAACAGCTGAGCGCTGAGTCTGGTGGACGCATGCAAAGTCCTCTTTTCCTGGTGTGTGTGACAGGCGTTGGTCTCTGGAGTTCCCCCCGCGGGCCCAGATCCTGCACTCAGATCTACAGGTGGGTGTGTCTCCTTGGTGACAGATGCTGTCCCTCTTTGAAGCTAGCCTGGCCAGCCTTGCCGTTTACCCAGCCCCACACCTCGCTGAGCCACCTCCGGGGCTGATTGGACTAGTCTCTCAGCTTTGTGGTACCAAGAGGGCTCAAGAGAAAGTAAGAGGAGGGGATAGAGATCTTTGAAAATAGATGGTGAAACAGGACATGGTGCTGGCAGAAAGAAAACACCAGTCCAGGGATGGCAAGGGGGGCGAGCAGCTCTGTTTAGCTGGGTGGCAGAGCTGATTGTGTCTACACCTTTGGTTCCCCATGGAGATGCCAGGGAGACTGTTCCCTAAGCAGTAAGGAAGTCCAGCTTTTATGTTAACTATACCGGTCACTTCAGACATCACGGAAACTACTTAATACACATTAAAGTTGTACTTGCCTGCAGTGAACGATTATTGGACAAGAACGGCCCCTGTAGCACTTGTTTACTTTTCTGAAATAAAAAGAGATAAAAATTACAGAGATGCACTAAGACTCTATTCTCCCCACTCCTATGCCACTGCAGCAGTTATGTGCCCCCAAATCAATTTGCAACCAACTTGTTTGCACGGAGAATAACAGTTACACATATAAATTCAGAGACTCTTTCTTTTCAATATTATTCAACAGAGCTTTAAAAACAGTTCTCACGCTTGCACAGAATATTTTCCCCCTCTGCAAGTACGAATTCTGGGGTTCTAGCGTTGACCCTGGGGACCCAGAGCCCCACACTTGTGCCTGTCCTTACCACGCCTCATCCTGCCCCTCTGGCTTTGAGGTGTCTCCATGCTTCCCTGAACTTCCAGGTTAGGCAACGTGTGCTGAGGACTCTGTGTGTCCCGTGCATCACGCTGGGAGAGGATATTACTACGTCATCTAGAGACACCATCCCAGAACCCTGTGCCTCCCGTCGGTCTCGGGGAAGGAAATTCAAGTTACAGAGAAAAGCCACGAAGTCCAAGATGCTTTTCCATCTTTATAAATCCACATCTTTAACAACAGGCCCCTCATGCAGCTTTCAGTGCAGAGGTTGTGAAAGTTAACAATAAAAATACACTGATGACTTCACTAACCAGCACCTACCCAAATAAGTGGGCTGCCTTTACATTTGCTGTACAAGCTTCAAGTGGTTTTTCTAACAAATTTAGTGAGAGAATAAAACACATTTACAAAGCACATCAAAGTTCTCAGTGAAATGTTTCTTAATAAACAAAACTGAAGGCAGAATCTCAGTTTATGGACAATGAGAATGGGTGACAAGCATTGTCTAGAGGTGCTGCAGGAGTTCCTCCAACCAGAGACTCAAATTTAAAAAGATGATGCTATAGAAAAAATCCTTTACCCCTCGAACTACAAACAATAGTCATTATATTTCCTTGCACAGCTTTGCTACTCAACACTGTGACCATCAGGTGACAGTCACCAGAGGTGTCTGGTGCAGGCACAAGTGGAGAGAGGGTGGGCATCCCTCACCCTCAGTGGGAGCAGGTTCTTTTCTCACGCAGGCCTGCGTCAGAGGGGCTTGTTCCCTTTCCCCTCATCCTCTGTGGAGTTAGCCGCACAAGGCACTTCTGAGGGGATTCTGAGCCCTCAGCTGGGCCACGCGCGGAGGAGGGTGGCCGCAGAGTAGATGAGACGCGCCCACCTGCAGACAGGTTGCGTTCAAAGCCGCACTTGATGTGTGCGACAGGCGGCATCTTATGAGCTTCTGGACTACCCAGCAATGCTTTCAAAGGGTACACGGGTAAAACAAGCCCGTCTCACCCGAGCCCATCCTGGCTCTCAGCACGCACTGTGTGAGGAACGGGGAAGACGGCTCCACTGCTGCGTACTGTTAAACTCCCCCATTCCTGACTCTGTGGTACCAAATATTTAGACCCTGTGGTACCAAACATTTAGTTCCTGGAGCAGGAAAGGGCAAAGCCCTTCACTGGCTAAAGACCACACAGGGTGGCGGTGCTGCTCAGTGGTAAGCGCCTACACAGGGTGTGCAAGGTCCAGGCTCCAGCCCCAGCACCACCGAAAAGAAAAAAAGCAAATAAAAGGACCGAGTGTGTGTACAGAACAGGGGCTCTGGCGGTAGACCTCATCTTCTTTCAAAGAGAAATTCTCACCATTGGGCTGTGCTATCGTGGATGACCTTGGGGACTTCCTGGGTGTCTCATGCCAAGTCCCCCTGTCTGTAAAGATGGCATGTTCCCATGCCTGCCCAGCACTGGGACCAAGCAGAAAGGAAGGCACAGGAAAAACCATTAGCCCAACAACCAGATGCCTTCTGAACCGCACAAGTCATGAAGACAGTGTCTGAGATGGCAAGGCTGTGCCTATTTGTGTTGCTCAGTGTCACCCTGGGTGGGGAAAGTTGATAAAAGCAAGACTGCTGGTTGTGATGGCTGCACCCTTGGGTCCCTGCTCTGGCCCTGTCTCCACCCACATAGTGTCTAGGATGTCACCGTCTTCAGGCCCTGCGAGGCCCTCTCAGCATGCCAGCCCCCACCCCATACCAGTCTTACTTACAAAGAATGAATGAGCAGTCAAGGGCACCGTGGGAATGGGCCGCAGGGATGTTTGAGAACTTTATTTATATAGAATCATGCACTTCGATCATCACACCAAGAGACATTGCAGATAGAAAAGCGAAACCATCGCACAGGGAGCCAAGCTGCTCATCGAGGCTGCAGGTTATTCATGGAGGTGAGCGGCTTGAAGCGTCCCAGGACTCTCAGACGCTCGCCAGCGAGCCAGGTGGCTCCAGCGCCGAGAGCAGGCGGTACAGGAGGAATCACCGGAAGGACCAGCCCTCGGTCCCCGAGTGAGGAGGGCCAGCCATGCACCACAGCAAGCAAAGGTGAGGTCGTTAGCAGTTCGGGGTCCCCCACATGTCCCTGCAGCAGTCACAGTTTCCAATGATCACTTTTGTGACTATGCAACTGGGCTCATATTACTAGCTGCAACATCACAAAAATGACACTGGCCACCGCTAATTAGCTGGCAAAGTAAGGGTTTGTCCAGTTTTACAGTGAGCAGCATTAGTGGATGCTGTGGCACACAGTAAGAGGTGAGAGAGAGGTGGAGATGGGTAGATGTGGGTGGAGGGGAGAGAAAGAGATGAGAGAGAGAGAGAGAGAGAGACAGAGAGAGAGAGAGAGAGAGAGAGAGAAAGAGAGAGAGAGAGAGAGAGGTGGAGAGAGGGAAAGAGGTTTCTGAAGCAAAGCCCTCACATGTGATGCTAATTATCTCTTAGCAGTTTCTCTTTACAGTGTAAATGTGCTCCCTCCAGGCTCCAGAAACATTTAATTACACCTTGTGGGCGCGGAGCACACCCAGGGCAGTGCCTGTGTTCAGAAGGAGGAACCCTGGCATCTGTCAGTGCAGAGTCTCCGGCGGGGCCTCACCTCACTGCTGCAATGTGGGTCCTGAGGGTGCCATGTGTGGGGGAGCGTGTGGCCAATGCCCAGGTTCCTAGCTGAGACTGATAGGGGTCATAGTAGGAAACTGCTGGGTCTGATGAATGTAATAAGAGGCCAGAAAAGCTCCGTGCCCCGCCCCACAGCCCATCCAGCTAGGCCTGGGAGTTTTCTCTTTCATAGAAACCGGAAACCTCCATACACATCTCACACCCTGGAGCACGGGCCTTTGGGGATCCCCGCCTTGCTTCCTGACGCCTGAACCTGAGTCTGGCATGGCTCTGCCCCGCCCGTACATGGATGCAGACAGAAGCCTGCATGCATAGATGCTCAAAGAGGCAAAGAGAGGTTTCTGAGTGGTGCCAGTCTTTGTCACTGCACCCATCTTGCCAGTAATGACTATTTTTAGTTTGTTTTTTTTTTTAATCGGTTCCAGGGATTGAACTCATGACTATGTGCTTGCAAGGCAGGCGCTTATGCCGCTGAGCTAAATCCCCAGCCCCAGTAATTACTATTTTTGAAGACTACTTCCAGAAATGATGTAAGACTGTCACATCTTTAGAAATAAATCTGCATGGAGGAAACATCTCGAGTGGCCAGGGCCCTGGGATGAGCAGGCCAGGTGTGTGTGGCTGTCGTGTCCCATGCTTGAGCATTCTAGGGAGTGGGACGGGCATGACAAATGACACCATACTCTTGTCTGTCCTTGGGCTCTGTCATATGCTATCTGCTCCATAGAACAATTCAGATAAAAATTTTTGTTTTTCAAAGTGGACTAGAAGGCAAAAGAAATATTATCATGAAAAGCTTAGGAATCTGTTAGACACAATCAAGAAACCCAGAGCTGAGCCCAAAGCCCATCTTCACAGCACCCTTTTGTCCCCACTGCTCTCGGGGATTGGGGCTCACTCGCAGCTGGGTGAGTGCCAGGTGTCATGGGGACATTGCAGGCTGGGGCACCTTGGTTCTTTGTGCCCTTGCTAGGTGGTACAAGCAGCCTGGTCACTGTGCCCCTGGGCAAAGGTGCCTACTTCCAGGTTTTTGTTACCCCGCCCCCCAGGAGGCTAGTGCTGCCCTCGCCGGCCACCACAGAGTGACTGGCAGACAAAGCTTCTGTCCCATGTCTGCTGTGGTTTTGCACTGTTCACATCCTTCTACAGGACAGAGTCCAGCTCACAACCATTCGGTAAACACACTTTAAAGTGAGAAAATGTGTTGTTGACTGGCTGACTAGAGCCACAAAGGGAAAAGAAGGCATCTTTAAAAACTGTCAGTCTTGAAATCACACCGGAATCCCTACAGTCCCAGGCTGACTGTGAGGGCTTCCCTGAGGTAGACTCCAGCCCTCCCCTGACTAAATCCCTTCCTATACAACCAGATGAGTGGCCAAACTAAAATCTCAGGTCTGTCCACCAGTGTCCTGCAAAATATGAACTTCAGGACTCTCCATCAGCTGAAGGATCTTATCAAAAACAACGGCCATATTTCCACAGTTCTAAGATGCCTCCCCTCGGGCATCACTGCCACCACAGCTGTGCCCACTCCCACCCCCACTGTCCCTTCCTCCCTCCTTGTCGCTCCTCACACTGGAGTGACCCCATGCGGGAGGTCGCATCTTAGAAGCAGGAAGCCTAGTCTCCAACCCCTTCCTCCTGGCCTCCAGCTCTAGCTGTACCCCTTAGGGTGGTTCCGGGTTTTACCTGCGGAAATCCAGAAGCGACCTTGTGGAGGAAGGGACGCCCTGGTCATACCAGCTCAGGAAGTGGAACTGGGTCACCGTGCGAGTCTCATGGGTCTGAAGGTTCTTCAGGTAGAAGCTTCGCACCAGAAAGTCCTCACACCAGATGTGCTCGGAGACCAGGTTGACCTGGGTGGGGTGGGTTGGGACAGGCACAGGAGGGCGTCATGAGTCCAGGGTGTGCTAAGCACTGCTCTTAAGATGAGAAGGGGAAACGCGTGTGTCTTGTCTGTCACCAGGAAGCTGGCCCGAGGCCTCCCCATTGTTTTCCAGGGTTACACAGGACAGGTTCTGTGTGTGTGTGTGTGTGTGTGTGTGTGTGTGCACGTGCGCGCGTGCAATACCATTTATCAGCTTGAAAGTTTTAGGAAGATGTTCTAATGCAGAATCCAGGAAGCTGGCGAGACAGCACCCTGGGGCAGACTGTGTGGTGCCAGTTGCAGTCTCTCCAAGGCCAGAGAGGGTGAAGTGTGAGGACTGCCAGTCACAGGGGTGTGACCGTGGGTTCTGGTGAGCTCAGAGCGCACTGCCACTGTGTACCCCTTGCTTTCTAACTTCAGGGCACAGCAGGACCAAAGGGTGCTCACAGGCAATGGTGGCCTAGATGAGTGAGTTCATGCTTGATATGGGCAGAGAAAACAACCTCTTGGAGCAGGTTCTCTTAGGCAAAAGGCCCAGTGCCAGGGCACCCACTGCTGACAGAGCCATGGGGAAGCTTCTGCAGTGGGATGTGCCAGACACAAGCCTGGGCTGCTAGGTCACCAGGATGGCCCAGTCACACACATTGGGTTCTCTTGGCTGGGTGGCACTGGGATCCCTCCATGGTGGGATGTGCTGATCCCCCCACCCCCTGCGCAGAGCTGTCCTAGGCTTGTGGGGAGCATGGTCAGGGCTAGTGGCCTTGCCCATATCTGCTGAGGACAAGGATGCCAGCTCCTCGCTCAGGGACAGCAGGCCCAGTGCCCAGTGGGCAGGTCCCTCTCCAGTACCTCATAGATGTGGTAGAGGTTGGAGCCCTCATCAGGCCAGTAGTGGTGGCACTGCCGGATGCCATTTTCTGTGAGTGGGGTCAGCATGACGATCACAGCGCAGCCACTCTCCCACACCATCTGCAGACAGAAGCAGGTATGGCCATCGAATCAGTGTCCCTGTCCCCTCACCATGTGACACTGATAATTACCACACAGAGACTGAATCCCAATTTGTGCCACCTCTAGGAAATGTATTTTACACTCACTGGCCATGTTTACCCTGCAGCTGCTTCACATCTCCCAGTATGCTTGCCTCAGATTTTGCCATGAAATATTAAAAAGAAAAAGACCAGGGCGTCTTTCCCCATCACCCAGCACCTCCGTCCAATCCAGGCTCTGCTATCCAACTCAACTTCTGGGGACAAAGGGAAGTTCAGATAGTGTAACACGGACAGCACGCGGGCAGGCCGTGGGAACTCTCAATCCCCTGGATGCAGTGGAAGTCAGTCACCACATCCCGGCTCTGACCCAGGGAAACCACTCCGTGGCTGCCCAAGAGGCGCCACACAAAGTGAGCATTTGAGCTTCCATGGAAACACCTCCCCGTATTTAAAGTAAATCCAAAACCAACTTAATAAGTCACAGCTATCATGCAACAGCAGGTCACAAGAAACACGAGAACATTTAGCACGCAGAGAGGACACAAGCGAAATCGCTCAACTCACCCTCAATCTAAGCACAACAGGCCACTCTGGGCAGGGACCCCGCATGCTCAGCAGGGCATTTTGTGTACTACACAGAAATATTTATAAGCAGACTCATTCAGATGTTAGTTTGGTGTGAGAAAGAACTTCTGTTTACAGGTGTAACATCGAATTATGGTCCTGTTATTCTAAAACTTCTCATATCTCACATATAAAACACTTTCTTATCGGAGTTTATGTTATTGAATTTTCCCACTAAATTACATTTTCTTTTTTTTTTTTTGGTACCGGGGATCGAACTCATGACCTTGTGCTTGTCAGGCAGTCGCATATGCCACTGAGCTAAATCCCCCTAAATTACATTTTCAAAATTAAATTTGAGGGCAGTATTTTCCTCCTTTACTATGGATTTATCTTCCCGCAGGGGTATATAGCCAATACCCTTTGGGTACCATGCTGTGTACTGTGTGTACCAGAATTCAACGCAACCTCCTGGGGTATTCATAAAAAAGCCCGAGAATAAATATGAACTGTGCTCAGACCTGCACACGCTCCCCCACCCCCAGCTTGGTGCCGGTCCAGCGGGAAGAGAATCCAGCATCTGCTTCTCACAGTAAGACCTCAAACCTGCTCTGCCAAATTGGTGCTGGTCGCATCATGATTTAATGGCCTCCAGAAAGTAGAGGAGCACGTTGAAGCCATTATGAAAATGTGGAGAAATGCAGATTTTATGAGCGCAATAAAAATACAATGATCTAGATCATAAACCAATCATCGAGCACTCTGCTGGGGCCATCTGAGTGTGACACTGTGGAGCCTCTGTCTGAGGAGGGGTCCTCCAGTGTGGTGAGCTCTCATTGGCTTCCACATACAGTGCCTCGACCGGGGGAGCCTGCTGGCCTCTGAGGGTTTGGTTAACATGAAATCCAAATAAAACTTAGTTTAAACAAACAATCCAAAGGCACCCCGAGGGGAACGTTTCTCTTTAGGTCACTGGTATGAAAGCATGGAGGGTGTTTCCAAACATCATGACTCAGAAAGGCATGGAGTTTACTAAATGGTAGCTTAACTGGGTACCACCTGCATGAGCTGCTTGGTGATCCGGCCGTACATCCTGTGTCTCCACAAGGAGGGAGAACAGGGGCCTTCCTGTGTCCTCCTCTCCCTGTGACATTGTGCAGTGGAACTCCAGAATATATTGCAAAAGTCAAATTGAGACTTTGGTAGGAGCACAGATGACCACTATGGCTTAGCCTGCTAAGTGTCCAGGTCTGCAGGTCTCAGATGTTTTTCTTCTGGGCTTGGTCACCCAGGTGGAGCACAGTGCTGCAAACGAGGACTCATCCTGAGACAGGGTCTCTGAGCTCCTATGTGGAAGGTTCTGACCCCCTACCTCTTACAGGAAGAGGAAGCACAGGGTGGGCCGACACGGAAGAGTGGAGACCACATGCCGACAGGCAGGACTGAGCAAGGCTGCCAAAACCAAAGGGTGGTAGGCCAGCAGTGCCTGGAGTGGCAGGTCCTCCCCTGGAGCTCTGGATGGCAGAAGTCTTGCTGCCCCTGAGTCAGGATTTCTGGCTGCCAGGATGGAGGCTACATTTCAGTTGTCCTGAGTCAACCAGCTGGTGGCACTGTCACAGCGGCAGTGACACACGACTATGCTCCTGGGCATGTCGCCCATCCTGCAAATCACTGCAGCTGTTGAAAAATTCTAATTTCATCTAAGTTCTATGTCCAAGTTAATTAAACAGGTAAAAAGAAGCATCAGTTCTTCTCATTTGAAGACCTTCTTGAGTATTAAGGATTTAACCAAATGTAACCCATCTAAAAGCCAGGCAAAGGACCTGACAACATTTTCCCAAAGGAGGCAAATGACCAGCAGGGTATGCGAACATGCTCTACACTGCTGAGCTGGTACTAAGGAAGTGCAAACTGAGATCACAGAGACGTGTCCTCCCTCCAGTCGGGTGACCCTTGCTAGAAAGATGAGAGGATGCAATGTTAGCGACGATGTGCAGAAGGGGGCCTCGCACATGGCTAGAGGGATGTGAACTGGCAGAGCCAGAATGGGAAGAATGAAACTCGGACAGGACTCTGTAATCCCGGTTCTGCATGTGTAGCCAAGGAACTGAAATCTGTGTCGAACAGATGTCTGCACTCCCAGGACACTGCAGCACCTGTCGGAATGAACAAGACCTGGAAGCCAGGCAAGTGAGTGCCAGTGCACAAGCAGACGGAGCTCATGGTGTCTGCCTTTGCCAGAACACTACTCAGTCCCAAAGAGGAGAAAGCCTCTTGTTTTTGATACCCCATGAGCCTGCAGGAGGTTACACCACGTGCAGTCAGCCCCTCACTTGTGCATGGGGCAGGGTAAAGGTGGTATAGGCAGAGGGTGCCAAGACCACCACAAGCATGGACCTTTGTCCTGTGGACTTCGGGCCCAGCACAGTGGCTGTGGTGACTGGCGCTACATCATGTCCTCCATGGTCGCTGAGCAGATTTCTGGGTTCTCTGTAAGGGGAGGGTGTGTTCTTCTGCTCGAGATGATGGCAGTGCTCATGACCCCGTGCTGCACCCCTTGGATGTTCATAGTTTAATAAGCCCAGCTTCCGGAGGCCACATCAGACCTCATACAGGCTTCACCCAGGTCCTCATGTCTTCCTTCTGCCATGTCCCCACTGCCTCAAGACGAGATCCTGGCTGGTTACTGTTTCTATTCTCAGAGGCATTGAGCAGAGTGAATTATTTTGTTGATTTGAATATTTATGTAAAAAGAGAGAACTCAAAGACACCCCTAACAGAGGCCTCTTAAATGCACAGAAGAGTGTTTCTGAAAAGCAAGCATAAAGTCTGCACACAAGTAGAAACCTCTGGGGCCTTCAGGAAAGGTGGCATCACCGTAACCCTGGTCTTCTTCTGTGTGACTCAGTTTCCAGGGGGAGCTGAGGTAAGCAGAAGTTTGGAGGTGAAGCTTCTGTTTGAATGCTGGCATCAGGTCCAGCTGGGCCTTGTATGTTACTCCTGTGAGCTTCCGGGAGCTGTGATGTCATTGTCTAAAATAATTGGAAGAAAACTGGCTCTCTTTGCTGGAGGAAAAAACCCTGCTCTTGTTGCCAAAGGACAGCTGTGCCTCTTAGCTGAGCCTCGATGTGCTGGTCACTGATGGAGCTGCTGACCGAGGGTGACTATGGCGCTGTCCTGTCTCCCACACAGAGCTTGGGATGCACCCACACTATCTCTTAAAAGTCAACAAATCTGTGGGTGTGGGACTCACTTGGATAGAGCACAAGAGGGAACACAGGTCAGAGGAGGGGTGCTGCACTGATGACAGGGTGCTGATCTGAGGTAGGTGCCCAGGGTGATTGGGGTGGAGTTGCCTGGTAGCTGTTAGCGTGCACACCTGTGCCCACTGTGCACCTCTGCTCTGACTTGCCCACGTGGGGGTGGGAAAGTGTCTCCTAACAGGCTCCTCCAGGTCCTGGGTGGAGCAGCGGCAGTGGGACGTCCCATGTGTAGTTCGTGGCTGGCTTCCTCCATCCAGCCTGTGCAGTCATGCTGGGCGCCCTGTTACTAGCTGTCCCCACCTGGCCTGAGGACACGAGTGAGCCACATGGAATCTGGAGTCTTAGCCCCTCTACTGCAGGGCCTGAGGTAAATATGTCCAACCTGGCAGCGAAGAGGAGGAGGAGGATGACAAGGAGACTAAATTTCTGCATAAAGGCAGGGCGGCCGGCTTGTTTTCATCTGTGGCTCATAAAAATCACCTTGAGGCAGTCTCTTCATATCTGGCCTAACTCGAATACCCTCTGGGTCATTTATTCCTGCAGTGGCTCCAGCAGGATCACAGAGACAGCTCTCTGTCTTCAAACCTCAGGTCCTGAAGAGTCACATGGCAAGAGTAACTGTTCACTTGTAAAGATTTGTGAGTTTAGGCACAGAAAGTCCAACAAGGCTTCATCTCTGAATAAGGTATCCCGGAACACCTACGTTGAAGCACATGTGAGCCAGCATTTCCCGTAAGCCAACTGAGCAGTGTGCTCTTAGCCACTGGCTTGTGCCATGCCCTGATTCCCCACACACAGGCCAGGAGATACAGAGCTTCTGCTGGCACCCACGGCTGAGCAGACAGGGTTGAGGAACTAACTAATAGAAAGCTGGGCTTGTGGTAGGCCAGCAGCCTGGCCTCGTGCTGGATGCTGGACACTGATCTGTCCGGGCAGCTTGAGGATGCCGGGGCTGCCGCAGACAGGGACCCACGAGGCCTTGGACCAGCTCTGGCCAGCTGGGCACAGTACTCTGGGGTTGGAACATGTTTGTAACTGGGAGGTGCTGGGGCCTCTGTCCACCGAGGCAGGCAGTCTCTCTGGAGGCCCCAAGGGGTTCCTGGAGATGTTGTTGGTTGTGGGATCCTGTCGCCTCATCCTGCCTCAGGGCTCTCAGCACCTCCACCTTACGTCCTCCTCCATGGTCTGCATATGGATGGAAAGTTGTGACCTTGCTGGATGTCCTGGTGCTGCTCATGCTGAAGGCTGGTGTCAGACTACCTGAGAGTTACTCAGAAGTCTTGAATAAGACAATAAACCCTCACAAGGCCACACAAATGCTCCAGACTGAAATTTCCTATATGCTTGGGGTGGTGGCACAGACCAGAAATCTCAGCACTCTGAGAAGCTGAAGCAGGAGGATCTCAGGTTCAAGATCTTGTCTAGATACCTTTTGACTCAGTGAGACACTGTCTCATAATAAAAAGGGCTGGGGTGGGGGGTAGCTCACTAGGAAGGTGCTGGGATCAGTCCCCAGTAGCAAGTGTACACATGCACTACACAGTTCCTCCTTGGGGCCCAGGGAGTGCAGAGCCTGACAGCTCCGGCAGGCTGTGATGCCACCATCTGGGAGAGGCCACCAAGCCAGGTGGACCCCCACTGAAGATCACTCTGCTCGCCCAGCTGTCCCCAGGAACTCTGGTTGGCCTGTGTGTGATCACCACAAGTCGCAGTGGGTTTGAAGCCATTATGGCAGAACGGAGCAGCACCTTCCAAATGTGGACCGAGCCACCTCGAGGACAAGGATGAGGTCCAGATGGAAGTTTCAAGTGGTGCAGCCCAGGACAGCGTTATACTGTAGAAAAAGTGCTCATGTGACAAAATGACCCCACCGCCCCAAACTAGGTATTTTTCCTTTAAAACAGGGATGATTTCTAAGTTTGGTCCTCTCTGCAAAAGCTGACCTCTGAACCCTCCACCCTGGAAGGTCATCCATGGCTGGGGGCAGCAGAGGGGGAGGGACTTGGTGTCCTTGTGGGTGAGACGGTTGAAGTTTTCCTTCCCTAAGTACGAGTGAGGCCTCTGCACCCATGTGCTCCATGGTCACGGATTCAATTCACATGGATTGAAAATATTTCAAGAAAACTATTGGCACAGAACATGCACAAAATCTTCCTTCCTATCATTTCCAACCAACATGACTAGCAATATGTGCACACACGCACTCATGGACTCTGTGTTATAACCAGAGCCACTTGGACACACAGGAGGACAAGCATGGCCACGTGACTGGCACATTATCTTCCACCAGCACCAGAGCAGCTTGGTCAGGTATCTGTATGTGGGGTGGTCCTGGAGCCAATCCTCTTCTGTATGGGGACAACTGTATACTTAGCTTTGACATTTTAAAATATAAATCAGGTTTTTGGAAATAAAAATCTTAAGAAGCATGCAGTATTTGTCAGGGCAGAGTTCTATCGCTAGGGATGAATTATTCTGTTAGGAGGACAGGACTGTCCTGGCTTTGCTCTGGCTGTGCCCAGCAGGCCAGCGGCTGGTGCAGGGATCCCAGTCCCTGAGCTCAGAGGGCATGCAGCCAGGAACTGCAAGGGTGGAGATGCCTTGAGGTCTGGGAGTGCAAAGCCTTGGAGTCACATGTGGCTCTTTCCCATTCTCACTGTCTTTGTCACAGTCATGCTGTCCTGCTGAAGAACCGTGACACCTGGCTCTTCTTCCCCAGCCTTCTTCCTGCTCTCTCTCTGGACAGTACAATGGCGTCAGGATGCTGTGGTGGGACCCAGCGAGCTGCTCAGTAAGAGCTTGCTACTTGTGACATGGTGTGAGGAGGAATGGTGTCCCCATCTGTGCCTAGTCAGCATGTAGGGACGTGGCCACTGCACTGGGAGGAACAGCATCCCTGTCAACCTCCAGTCTGAACCTGACCTCATGGTCACTGTATTGGTAAGGATGGTGTTCCTCCCACATCCATCAGAATCTGAGCACATGGTCCTTATACTGCGTAGAAATAGTGTCTCTGGCACATCCAGCTATGTCAGGGTGGTCACTGTAAGGGGGAGGACAATGATACCCCCACTCATGTCTAGTAACAATTTGGGGGCATGACTTTACTCAGGAAAACCATCTTTGCTGATGTTGCCAGGGCAGATGAGGTTGCAGCAGTTAAGAGGAGGACCCTATGACTAGTGACCTGTGTATTTAAGGGGAGAAATCTTGATACAGAAGCAGACACTGGGGAGGAGGCCATGTGATCACAATGGTGGCAGAGACCAGAGAGACGCAGAGAGACTCAGCCTAGGACACTGGGGACCATGACATCACTGGAGCTGGGCAGATTGGGCAGGTTTTCTTTCCAGCATCCCGGGGAACCTGCTGTCCACCCTCGCTGAGGATTACTGGCCACCCAGCCTCCTGAGCTGAGTGAGCACAAATCCTGTTGCTCAAGTCACCTGCTGTGTCACTGTTATAGTCTTGGCCTTTCTCTACCAGCCCTGCATTATAGTTGCCCTAAGGCAATTTCACTCTTTGCTGACAAAGCACACCTGTTTGCTGCACGAGCAGGGTGCTCAGATCAACATCTCAAAGTTGGGAGCTGCGCAGGTCATTTCTGCGATGCATCTCAAGGTCTGTGGTCAAAGTTGGTTAAAGGCCACAAATCCCGAGCTTCAGCTTCCTCCCCAGCCAGGGGATCTGCTGGGTCTCATCTGGGAAATCCTGGCCCTTCCTGACTCCCAGAAAGCTCAGCATGATGGGCCTCCAGAGAGACCGACAACTGCCCTTCTAGGAGGGGCAGAGGAAGGCAGACTGGAGGGAAATACACTCCATCGAACTGATCAACCTTTACAGTCTATTTACTGTCATGAATTTCTAAACGGGAAGATGGGACACCTCTAGGATCTACACTGCCCAGCCACAGTGTGACCTCGGCCCTCAGCCACAGCCCCTCCACCCACTACACCCAGGGTGTCTTCCCTGGGCCGCAGCATGCCTGGAGCAAGGCAGAGGTCACACCCACCACAGAGAAAGCACACGCACTGCTGAGGATACACAATCACGCCAGGAAGCTGCCCCTGTTTAGCTTTGTCAGGAGGTTGCTAGGGAGAAATGCAGAGTTTGGCTCCAATTTAAGCAATGTTGACTTTCACTCAGTGTCCATGACTGCATCTGGGGACCCAGACTGTGCTGGTTGGGAGACTTGTCAGAGGACGAGAAGCTACTTTAGCACCATCTTAACCTGCCTAAGACTGAAGTGACAGGCGAGAGGCACATTCGAATAAAACACAACCATGTAAACACAAGTTAACTTCATATCCTTTCACCATGTAAAATGAAATTGTAAACTGGATGAAAAGCAAAGATCTCTAAAGCATTAAACATCTCAAAGGGAGTTTTTCATATTTAAACTTGAAAACAGAAAGAAGAAAGATCAACAGTGAAAATCTTAATGGACATCTAAGTTCTGGAATCCTGTAACATTTGATGTGTACCTGTAAACAAGTTTGAACTGGCTTAATGGAATTCAAGGAGCAATTCTGGCCAAATTATTAAGATTTTACATTTAGAAAAAAGTAGTAATTAAAGAAGACTCACCTGCCAGAAGTCGGCCACAGTGGCAGGCAGCGGTCCTTGGGTGGTGATGTACGCAGGATTCCTCGGGTCATGGTCCATCTGCAGAGATAAGACAGCCGTGATGGAGTCAGCTGTGCAGCTGGGAACACCAGAGAGAAGCCCAGCTGAGGAGGACAGGGGAGCAGGGCACCATGGTCACATGCAGGAACCCAGTGTAGACACCATGCCCATATGCTAGGCTCTGAGCCGGGACCACAGGCAGGATGCTTCCCAAGGCCTGACACTGAGGCTCTAACAGGGCATCAGCAGAAACAGAGCCACCAGGACTCCTGGGTATGTTGCAGGCTGGTGGCCCTGGTCATACAGCAGCACTGTCAAGGGGGCCAGGGCTCAGTGCAGCACAGCCCTGGTGGCCTAGGCTTTGGGCCCATCCATTAAAGTGGGCACCCTCAAAGAGGTTCCACAGATGGTGTGGGTACCTGGTGCCCAGGGAGAAGCTTGTCTTGTCTGAAGAGCTCAGTAGGGTATCCTGCCCGGGCCATACTTGGGGTGGGAGCTCATGCTGTCCATGGGCCAGCCTCTGTCCAGCCCTGCCCAGAGACCCAGGATTGGGAATAAGCAGAGGCCCTGGAACCTTTCCAGTAGCTGATGTGCCCCACGTGCCCTGCTAGCTCCAGTGGGGACTCAGGGCTGGAAGACCTCATTTGCAATGTGATAGTCAAAGATTGATGACACAGGGACAAAACACAAAGAACACAAAGACAAATCCTTGAGAGGCCAGTGGGACGGAAGCCACTGCAGAGAGCGGTCATGCCTGGAGCTGCCTGGCCACCCTGCAAAGGACAGGGCACCTTTCTCTCTGACCCGGCGTCAGCCACAGGGAAGCTGTGTTCCCTCCAGCACAGGCCCTGTGGCACGCTGCAGAGCAGGGGTCTGGGGCAACCTGGCTGGGGCAGATGGCACCTGCTTAGACCTCTACCCTCCACAGCCAGGGCTGAGCACACCAGGATAACGAGGGACACGGGAAGCTCTGAGGCTAAAGATTTTCCAGTGGTGAGGAACGAGAGCATTTTACACCTATGTAAAATCCCTTGTGCCTTTAAAACACTTGGCTGCCCTCAACCTGGAGGCTGTCGGTATGCCCACAGTGAGGCATGCCCTGATGAGGTATGGGTGCAGGTGTAGTGATCCCTGCTGAACACGGCATGTGTGAGCAGGGGCAGCTGGAAAGCTTTGTGCACCCAATTTAGGAGTATGTGATTAAAACTGGAAATTCACCTTCACGCACACAATAGGGGTAAAATTATATTCCCTTGAAAGCTCCAATTAAAATACTGCAGTAGACAAATACTTGGCAGGAATAAGGAGTTTGTTTGGAACATGCACTTGCTGGGGGACAGCTATTTTGGGGGACCCTGTCTCCTCCCTGCAGATGGATGCACTAAGAAGTGGGTATACCCTCCTGCAGGTGCTCTGCTGCCCTAAGCAACATGATTAGAAACTTGTGTTCACTCTGGCAGGTTGAGTGCCTTCCAAATGAGAAATAAGTGATTCGGAATGAGAAATGAGAATTGGGACAGGGTTTCTGGAGGCAAATATGCCAGCTTCCGGGCGGGGTCTCAGTTGCTGAGATGTCCCCCACATCCTAACACCCCAGAGACAAGCAAAAGAAGCAAGGTCTCAGGAGGGACAGTGGGCAGGGGACTTGGGCAGCATTCGGCTCCCCACGCCCTCCTCCTACTCCTCAGACGCCCTCTCTGTGCATGGCATCCATCTCTGTCACACTCTTTGGACAGCAGGAGATGTCTTGCACTGACAGAGGGCTCCTAGCAGTCAGATGTCCTGCAAGATCACAGTGCAGAGGACATGGCCAGTCCATAGCACTGCCATCGCCAGGGCGGTCTCCAGCAGGCTCTCAATCGCAGGCCTGGCTCCACTGTCTTCCTGTGCCTCTGAGGACCCTGACCTTCCTGCTTCACCTTCCTGTTCCTCTGCTGCCTTCCATCTCTCTGTGTTGGGCTTTCCAGCTGGGTGATGCTGTGGGCCTGGATCCCTGTAAAACAGGAACGTCAGGGAGGGACGTCACCTCTGGGTGCCTGGCAGTTCTGGGCTCGTGTCTCCACATTCCTGTGTGCTTGCAGTAGAATCCTCGGACTCTGTGCTCCTGGGCACCAGGCCTGTGTGCTGAGCCTGTCTCTCCCTGTGAACCGCTGTGCAGCAAAGGACCAGCCCCAGGACCAGTCCTTATTAAGCGCTTGCTCCCCAGCAGGGGCTTGTGCATGGATGGTCCAGGATGACTTAAGATACACTAGGAACAGCTTCAACCGGCAGTAAAATTTTGCTTGGACAATTTTTTTTGAAAAAGAAAATCATTTTCCTGTGCTGACTTAATGTTTCTGGTGGGCCGACCACACAAAGGGTTCATTCTGAATGCAGGGCTGACTCTGTAGTCCTCTGTGAGGTGACAGTCATTACATGAGGTGATTGACTGTTCAGCCTATGTGACAGGCCCCAGTACCAGTGTCTCCAGTCTTCCAAACCTAGAAACAGCATCCAACCTTTCCAGACCACAGATCTTGTCCCAAAGCCCAGGGCTTATGGGAACTGAGGCCCCCACTTGTGGCCCCTGGAGGTACCCTGGAGGGGTATGCGTTTCCACACCTGCAAATTGCACCAAAGCTTTCTTCAAAACAGCCTCGAGCTGGGTTAACAGATCAGGTGCCAACAGTGGCATCTGCTGGGGTATTAGCTCCAGAAGCCAGTGGGAGAGATAGATCCACAAGCAAGAGTCATTTCATAGTTGTTCTTGTGTTGAGGTTTTGTGAGTACAGTGCTGAAAGTAAACCATCATTGTGCACGCAGATGCTTGGCTGCAAATATTCCCGAGAACCAAGGGTTGGCCTTTGCATTGGCAGGATCTCAGGGGCCTCAGGCCACCTTGCTGTCATCTTTTGCAAAGGAAGGAGCTCTCTGTCCCTGCTCAGCTCAGGAATGCGCATTTGAATGGAAACTGCGAGAAATCTCTAGCTTCAGTAAGCTGAGGGGAAGAAGTAAGCTTGTTTTCAGGGCCATTAGGACCCTCTGGCCTGGGCCTGTTCATCAGCTCTTGTGCTACTGATGCCTCTATGGGTGGGTGACGACCCTGGCTGAGCGACCTCCTCAGGAACAGCTCAGCTGCGTCCTGAGAGAAGCCGATGGGTTTCTCTTTGGGACGCCTCAGCAAAGGAGCAGAAGTCCCATCTGCTTTCATGACCTCTGATTTAAAAGCAAAGATTGCACATTATTTACTACTGGGTGGCTTCCCTGAAATTTAATGAGGACTAAGTACAAATATGACAGATGTAATTATCATAGCTTCATTCCGCACAGCCAGGGCCTCGGACTGTAATTGCAAGCTTTCCATTCTGCAGCGGCTGGAAGGTCGTTATCACTTGGCCTCCAGTCATTTCAGGGGAAAGAGGCACTGTGGGTTTTTTAATTCATTCCTACAGCTCAAATTTGACAACAACAGCAGCAGCAGCAGCAACAACAACACAGTATTGTGGTATGAAGTAAAGGAGAAACAGAAAAAGCACCGTAAATGACTCATCTCTCTTGTACTGGCCTCTCCGCTCCAAGTCTGGGCAGGGAGGCTGCTCTGGACATGCACCAGGGGAGGAGATTGCTGCACAGACACCAGGCAGGGATTCGTCTCCCCGTGCCCACCCAGCACTGAGGGTGCAGCGCTGCACCCAGTGTGTGCCTTGGAGCCTGTGTGGCAGGGGCACCTCAGCAACTGCAGCCTGGGACCCACACGCTGGGGAGTGGGGCTCAGTGTGCCTGCCACTTGGACTCGAAGCTGACAGCTTGCTTCTCACTCTGGCCTTAGCGCCCGGCGCTTTCCAGGAAAAGGGACAGCTGCTGTAGGAAGAAAATGGCTTTTCTTTTCCTTCAGTTTTGTCATTCCTTTGGTGTTGGCAGTTGAACCTGAGGCTTTGTTTATGCTAGAAACGTGCTCTCCCACTGAGATACAACCCAGCCCCTTCAGACAGTGCCGAGTGGCCCTTATAGTCACCTGCCAGTCAGAGACAAGTCCAAGGACTTATAGGCCTTGTTCCCAAGGAACGGTGCTGTTTGTGAATTGTGAGCCGGGTCAGTGCACGAGCGCCAGAGGCATTTCCAAATCAGTCTTGTGGAGGAGGACTGGTGACCAGCGGCCAGGTGAGACTGTTCAGGGCAGAGGGACTCTGCATGGGCGCCTCTGTGGGGTGAGGAAATTATCCCCATGACCCAGGTTGGGAGCAGGTAGTCTAGACAGAGTGCTCCCCATTCTGAGTTTGCTTTCCTAGGTGTGTGTGCTCCCTATGCCGGCTGTGACTCTTCAGGGGGCAGCACTGGGACCTCCATGAAAATATGATGGTGCTTAAGTGGGGGTTGAAGCCCAGTTCTCACCAACAGCAGCTGACCCAAAGGCAAGAGGGCTGGGGATCCCAAGGGCGTGTTGCGGCCCCAGAGATGAGCTGAGTGCTCTCAACCTCTGTGGTACAGCACATCATGTGGCCAGAATTCCAGGGATCTCCCTGATGCCCACTGCGGGCTGAGTCAGAGGAGCTGGGAAACACTGCAGCCCAGTCACACACCCACACCGAATCATGACTCTCCTGGCTGGTCTCACCAACAGCTGCCTTGGCTCTGGACACCCCAATTCCTCTCTTCCCACCTGCCCTTGCTCTAGCTCACCTGGGAGAACAGCCTGGTGTCTGCCAAGGAGACCCCACACATCGACTCCTCCGCCAAGGAGACTGAATCCCTGCCCCTCTCTGCTTACCCTAGTGGCCCCGATGTTTCCTCCTCAGCTGCCTGCTGTCCCTGAGCTCAGGACAGGGCAAGCACTTAGGTGGTTCCCACAATCACAGGTTCCCTGAGGGTCAGTGAGGGAAACTGGACACCAGGGATGACTGAATTGGGGAAGCCATGTTGCCACTGTCTCCAGAGGTAGCACTGCTTCACCCACATGTGTGGTCCTTGAAGCCACCGCCAAACACTGGCTCATGTTCTATTGAAGAGTTGTGGAGCAGGAGACCTTGCAGCTTTGAGGTCATGAAACTCACGGGGGTGGGTTTGGGGCTGGGTTTTTATATCCTTGGAACACAAGAATAAGTAAGGAGCTCCAGGGTAAGGCCTGCCACCCAGCATGAATGTCCGCTGGCCAGGAGTTCCTCACCATCATGGACACTCAGGCCTGGATCTTCTGTCCACTCTGAGCACCAGGTCCACTCAGCCCATGCAGCCTGTCTGACAGAGGGTAGGAAGCCTGGGATACCACAACTATCTTCTGCAGAAATCTCCTAATGACCGCTGCTCCCGAAGGAGAGCAGGCTGGGACTTGGTGGTACTCACGATGGGGCTGGCATTGATGTAGTCCGAGTTGCCATGGCTGTTCTCAGCCTTCAGCAGGATCCGTGAGTGGTCATCTGTAAGCAACACAAGAGCAGGTCACTGGGGCTCGGGCAGCTCTACACCCATAGAGAGGGTGTGCAAGCCTCAGGCTCAGGCCCAGCCCTGTCCTGTGTCCTGTCTAATGATGTCTTTTCCAACCTTCAACTCAAGAGGCACACTTAGGGCTTGAAGGGTGTGGCCCAGAGGCTGAGAGGTCCTAGCATCTCTCTCTTACAAAGCTCAAACACCAAGGCTGTGGTGTGGTACTCTGTATGCTGCTGCCTTTACATCACAGACACACTTGTCAACATACAACAGACACAAATGTGAACAGTGATCAATAGACCCTATTTGAAAGACAGACATGGTTACATTCCTAAGGTTACTGTAAGGTCTAGAGAGACTGCAGATCAAAAGGGAGCCAGGAGGTAGACCCAGAGGAGACTCAGGAGCACGAGAGCTTGAACTGGGAGACACCATAGTGAGTATTGACATGAGACCCCTGTGGCACTGAGCCCAATGCATGGGCTCCCAGCTTGGCGTGGAACGAGCCTTCTGCTTGCTGTGACCCTGTCTTCCACCCAGGACCCTGCAGGTGGCTTTGGCAGGAAGCCAGGAGGGGTGGGGTGAGAGGGTGTGATGCCACCCCATGAATGTTATGTGGAACTTGGCACTGCTCCTCCCCAGAGATGACGATGCCTGTACTGGGCCTTTGGAGACCAGTGTGGAAACCTTTCTCTAACTCACCTGACCCCCATTTCCCACACGCCTGGCCACATGTGGCAGAAAGGGCCCCGGCCACCAGAGTGGCTTGGTAGTGAAGGCTTGGAAACAGGGCTTTGACTTGGACTCTCATTTCTTTTGGGAGTTTCACTTTTTTTTTTTTTTTTTAAAGATATTCTTGGGAAATGGTGAGTCTTATAACATGTGAGGTGTAGAAAGTTCATTTGTGGGTGACATGATGGGACCAGAGGTCATCCTGGGAGCTCTCCCTGCAGAGACAATGTTGGGCAAGACACAACAATTGATCCCTGGTGTGTGTATGGGGGGGGTTCATCTTAGAGGTGGTTGAGGGGCTTCCAAGTCACCATCACATCTTTTATTGCCCTGTTACTTGGGCCCAGGGCCTCATGTGAGCTGGAGAAGTGCTCACTCACACCCGAGCCCACAGGCTTTCAGCAATGGCATGAATAAAAATCCCAAAGTCCCAGGGGCTCAAGAGCTTCTTCCTGCATGCATTTATTCCTAAGAGAGTACGCCAAAGCAGCAGTGAGAGGAAATTGAAATAAAATTTACAGGAAAAAATTTGGTCGACTCTAACTTTCCAGCATGCTACTCATACTGGCCCCAAAATGAGAGCCCAGAGGCACCATTTCTTAGGCTGCACACCAATCCTGAAAAGGAGACGCCTCTGTGTGCAGAGGTAGTCTATGGGTCTCAGATCACAGCTGCCCTGAAATCTGGAACGAAGAACTGGATGCCAGCTGGGCCCTGAGGGCTGAAGTATTTCCAAAATGGGCAGTTTTAGATACTCGTGCTATGGCAACTGGGGAAACTGTGACACAAAGCAAGTTGGTTGTAAATAGGGTCAGGGAAAGAAAAGCTGCAGCCAGTGAGATGCAGCAAGTGTACCCTAGAAAGGCCACGTTCAGCGGGGGTGGCCACAGCAGAACCAGCCTCTCACAGGGGATGGTGTTACCCAGCTCCCCCCGGACTCTGTGCCACAGCTGGCTATACTGTCTCACTGGGAAGCTGGGAGGGTCCTAAGCTCTGTGAGACACAGATGGGGTGTCCTAGGCTCCCACCTGCACTAGGGCTGGAGGGACAGTCTGCTGGAGCCCGTGGTGTCCTGGTGTGGTGACAGCCACACCACAGAGCTGCCGCAGCATGTGGTTTAGACTGGGCATGGGGGCCAGGAAAGTGTTAGAGCCCTGCTCCGTCAGAAGGCATCTGTGGTTCTGCATCAACGCATCTCTTTTAAAATTAAACATGATGCATTGGGTAATCCTGAGGCCCCGGTAGAAACACATTGAGCCATCCTGGAAGGACCAACTGTGGTGGACGGTGCTAAGCACACCTCTGGAATACTCTGTGGTTCATTTTTCTTTCTTTTTTTTTTTTTTAATCAGTACTGGGGATCGAACTCACGACCGCCTGCTTGCAAGGCAAGTGCTTATGCCTCTGAGCTAAATCCCCAGCATGTCATTCATTTTTCTAAAAGCAATGCCTGCCTCCAGTGGCCCAGATGGGAGCCACTGGTGTTTACTGGGACCCGCACCATGCTGGGACCTGGAGCCCTGGGAAACAAAGCAACCTTCCCCTCCTCCCTGTTTTGTTTTGTTGAACTTCAAAATACATGAAAGTATGGACAACTATTTTCAAGAGAACAAGAGACTCTACAACAGCCATTGGTGACTTCCCTGTTGTCTGGTTTTGAAGACCTAAAACGCCTTCCTCAATCAGTTCGGATCAGTTTTATATTATGTTGTTTTGTATGAATTCTCTGTATTCAAAGACATGGACAACTATTTGGAAGAAAACAAGAGACAATATGATAGACAGTGAAGATCTCAGGTCGTCTAGCTTTGAAATTTATATCTCTTACATTGCTTTCTTATGTCCTATTTTGTTCTGTCTTATTGTGTTTAATTTTACCCCCTTTAAAAAAAAAGCGATGCCTGCACCAAGCTGAGTTTCCTGAGGACAGGCTCTGGCACTTCCAGGGTTGATAAGCTTGCCCGTGTCTGTTAGGATGCGGGACTGGGAGGATGGTGACCTAGTGGGAACTGGGTGCTCTCCCAGGGCCCAGTGCAAGCTGCAGAAGCAAGCTGGGAGGCTGCTCTCCAAACACCTGACTTCCTGGGCCCCTGCTCCCAGAGCACGTACCCCAACCCCTACCTCACTGTGGTCACAGTGATTTCAGAGAGGTCTCTTTAGAAACTCAAGAGCCAGGGCAATAGGAAGTTCATCCAGCTCCTTCTTCTTCCCCTAACAAGACCCACAGGTCTAAGCCTTCCCAGGAAGAGAGGAAGAAGCCAGTGTGGAGAGAATGCCTGTTGAATGAGCTCCTTCCTGAGGGCCTGAAATACTTGTTGGCATCGGCCCCTGATCACAGACACTGCAGGTTTCTCTGATGCTTTGCATTTTCACATTTGTCACCTCTGACCCACTGGAACTGAGTCGTGGATCAGGTAGACAGAGAATTTGTCCATTTAGTTGGGGAAAATGAGGCCTGGGAGGGTTGGCAGGGTCCTTGGCAGCAGCAGACATGGCTCAAGTCCCAGCCCCATCACGCACTCTCCAGATGATGCTGAGGTAGATGACTCGTGTGTCACACATCAGATTCCTCTTCCAGAACATAGTCGTGGTGCTGAGTCACAGGCTGCGGAGACAACAGTGTCTGAGATAGGCATTGAGGAGCTCAGGAGAAAGCTCCAGGCCACAGAGGACACATCTCTGGGAGCACAGGCCTTTGAGAGGGTACCACATACCAGGGCACACAGTCTCTGCAGTAAATGCATGATGATCTTCTTGAGCAGCTAAGAGAAGCAAGTGCCCGATGTATCCAGTGGACAGTGGCCATGCTGGAGCCCTGCATCCCTCCACACCATGGGTCAGTGGATTCAGGACTGGAGGTACCTGGAGGCTTCCTGTGACTAGTGTCCCCTGCAGTGTGGCTCTCTAAAGATTTTTCCCAGCTCTGCTCTTCCTCTCACCCAAGGGAGCCCATGAGTGCTTCCCTAGGTACTTCAGTCAGAGCATTGGAGTAGTGGTCCCTATGTGTTGGCTCCATGGTGTTCAAAATGGAGCCGCCCCATTCAGGCAGGACTGCATCAGCCAGCTCTCCTGTCCCCGAACAAACACGGGCACCCAAAAAGAGGAGGCACAGGACCGTGACCCATGTAGACATATCCAAGACTGTCTCTCACTCTGATCAAATCAGCATCAGGATTGATGGCTGAAGGGCCTCCAGCTGTCTGCATTTTCTGTCGAGATTTAGATGCAATCATTTATGCTGTGGGCACCATGTTTTTGCCTCAGTGGTGTGGCTGATGGTGATGTGGACACTTTTGGCAATGGTGGCAGTTTGCCCTGGAGGATCAGGGCTGTGCAATTTCAGTCCACAAGGGGATTTGTGGCCTGGGATGGCATCAGTGACCACAGCTCCTCTCTGTTTTCATGGATCCACTTGGGATGTGACATACTGTGAGGTCTCCACCTGAGGTCACCCACCACTGTCCTACACTGGCCATGGATGCTGGCCTTGCCTCTCTAGCCACTGCACACAAATGACTATGATCTGACTTGTCACAATCAAGACAAAGAAACACATCATCTGAGCTGCTAAACAGATGAGTCTCTCTATAGATCTGAAGACAATGGCAGAGTGCCTCTGGGACACCATGTGTGGGGTGCATCCTCTGTGGATGCAGGCTCCTCCTCACTTTTTATGCTCCCTGCAGTGATGCCTGTGACCCCGGCTAGGAGACTAGGTCAGTGTGCACAGAAGAAGGCCATGGAGTGCTATTCATAGCCTCTGTGGACAGTGACATGACCTTTCATCTGGGAAGAGAGGGATGGCTATAGTGTCCCATCAGAAAACCCTTCTGCCTCCTACAAGAATGCCCTGTGCTGGGCCTCCCCAGCCTGAGTCTACCAGCCGAGCTCCAGTGTGCTGGTCGTGACTTAAGGGGGAAGCCTCGCTTTGAGTTCCTGGCTGCATGCCAGGAAAGCAAGGGCTGTATCCAAACCCCCCTACGACCTAAGCTGAATGCCTCCAAAATGACATATGTGCCCAGAAACAATCTCCACACAGAGGTCAAGTTAGACCAGTCACTGGGGTGGTGTCTTTAGCAAGGGCGATTTGCACACAGATGGGAGACACTGTCTGGGCTGAGGAAGGAGCTCAGGCTGCACTAGTCCAGCCCTCACAGGACATCAGCGCAGACCCACAAAGAATGGACCTCTGGTGCTGGATCATTCACTCGCTATTAGGGTGGGCAGCGTAAGGAAGGGGATATGACTAGATACAGAGCGATGCAGGGAGCTACTGCAGCCTTCCTTAGTCATAATGATGGCTGCAGGTGTGTAGGAGAAGGGCCTTTTCTGCAGGAGATGTGGGCTGGGGTGCTTTGATGTCTGCTGCCTGAAACTTACTCTGAAATAGTGCAGCCAAGAATAAACAAAGCCCACACACACGTTACACAGATGCAGCATGACACGTGGAAGCAGTGGCATGTAGGTGGCAGGTGACCACTGACTTGCTGTCCAATCCAGCAGGGGGCCAGGCCAAATCACAGAACGGGGGGGCCCTTGGGGAGTAGTGTGTGAGATGCACCTGGCCAACGGGTGAGTGGTCAATGCAGGGTGGAGGCTGGACACTGTTTGGGGACATCAGCTGTGAGCACCTCACTAGCTGGCCCAGCCCTGGCTCCTGTGCTTGCACAGGGGAGATGCACTGAGGACTGCAAAGGCATTGGGAGGACACTGCGGGACATGTGACTGGTACTGGATTCACGAGCTCACAGCTGGGAGGCTTTGAGGGCTGTAGGAAATGTGGGGGTACTGCAGGCCCAGACTCCACTGGGGATCTGGCTCACAGGTGCTGAGCAGTGTGGCGAGGCTGGGTGTGAGATGCTTTTCCTGCACTCTGTTCTGTCACGACGTGGAGACAGGAGGAAAGTTTACAGAATGAGAGTTGGCAGCACAGGTGGGACCCAGGGCAATCAGGTCCCTGGATCCCCATGGCCTTGGACAGGGTTCTACCCCAGAGACAACCCAAGATCCAGGTCTTTGTCACACACACAGGCTGTGGAAGGGTACGTGGTAGCTAGGGCATCCCAGCTCAGCAATAGTCCTCATGGGAAAGACCTGCGTTTCTGAGTGTGACAGACACTGACTGTCAACATAGCCAAGGGCACCTGTGGAAATGCTGACTCCACTGTCCTGGTGGAGCACCAGATGGAGGACTCTGGACCCTTGGGGGCTCCTATCCTCGCTCTATTTGGAAACCTAGGACTGAGAGAGAAGGCTATGTGGCCCAGTTAACCTGCCTCTGGGGCTGTGAGCTGGCTGGCACTGCCCTGTCTGACCATGATTGCTTTCAGGATATGAGACCAGAACCTTCCCATCTGTCCTGTGTCCTTAATCTATAGCTCTCCATCCTTTCTCAAAATACTCCCATCACAGTTTGTGTCTGCAGCTTTCTCTATTCATTTTAATACACAACCAAAGTTTTTTTTTTCTGTTTAAGACACTGCACCAAAATAGCTTCAGAGTCCTGTTCTTGATTTGAGAGGCAGACAACAAACTGTTCTTTAACCACGTAAAACACTGGCCAAACATGAGCACATTCAGTGCCTTGAACTTTGGAGGTAACAGAATGAAGATCTACTGGTGCTGGCCAGCACCTCATGAATGTCAACAGCCTTCCCTCTCAAGAGCGCTCCATGGAGCAGATCTCCAGGATGGAGGGACCCAGAATCCCCAGTAACTCACTGTGGGTGTCCTGCAGCCTCAGCCCCAGGAGATGCATGCAGACAGGACTGCATGGGCTGAGGCATGGAGGTGGGGAGGATGGGCAGGGGCTCCCCAGGGGGAGTGGAAGAACACACTCAGTGGCCACACTGAGCTGGATGGGGCAGGGATGAGGTGTGGCTTTGCTCCTGGGGATAGGTGACAGGAACCTGCTGCACTTGACCAGTGGGAGGCAGCGGCATCAATAGGGAATGAGCAGCTGGAGGGTGCACAAGGAAGACCTTTCTAGGGGAACTGTGGGAACCAAGAATGTTATGCACTGGACCAGGTCACAGGAGCAAATGCAGAGCCCAGGTCCTCCTGGAGACACCAAGATACCACTGTTGGGAACACATAGCCTGCGGGGGACCCACATCTACTGCCTAACTACGTCAACCCCAACACTCCTAGGCCTTACACTGACCACATCCCTGGCCATTTTTAAACTTTGAGACTAGGTTTGGCTAAGTTGTCCAGGATGGGCTCAAATATGCAGTCCTCCTGCCTCAGCCTCCCAGAGTGCTAGGATTACAGGCATGTGTGACTATGCCAAACACATCTCACCACACCGAGCCAAGGTGAGCTGAAAGCCTCTTCTGACCCTGCTTCCCCTCTCACCATCCCTCTGCCCTTTCCTGCCTCGCCCAAGGTCCTCCTTGGGGACACAGTAGCCTGGCATGGCTCATTAGACATCCAAAGTCATATGTGGCTGCTGACACATAATAGGTGCTCAACAAGCATCAGTTAGTCCATCAGTTAGAGCACGACCCTTCCCTTTAGTTGACTTCTGAATGTAAACCCCATGAACAATCACTGCTAGTTAGTGCTGTCCAGTGAAGACCCCAGGCCCACGGCTCCAGGGCTTCCATGGCTCACACACTTGTGTGACAGCTTCTGAAGCTTATAGCTCTTTGGGGGCAGCTTCTGTGTTCAGGGGTGACTGGAGCCCTTTCCAGGCCAGCTGGCAGGGTTGTGAGGCCCTGGGCCAAGTGGTGCCTATGATAGCCACAGAGGCTGGGGCAGGGGCAGTGGCCATGATAGGGCCTCTCAGCACCACTGTGATGTGCTGGAGCTGTGGGTCGATTGTGGTCTCAGAAGTGTGACAGGAAGTTCCTCTCATCACATGGGCACCATACAGGGCACCTTGCCCACAGCTGCTAAGGCTGTGGCCAAGGGACTTTCACACAACCACTTGTCTCTCCTGAGGTGACCATAGCGAGGGTCCACAGAGAGCATTTGGGGGTCCCCCCATAGATAAAAATCCTGGTGGACATATGGGGCCAGAGTGGAAGAGGGTACTGGGCACAAGAAGGATGCACCCAGTCTCCTGACCCTGGCTCTGCACCCTGGCATGACCTAGCACATCCTGGTCTTGTGTGTGTGGGGGTTTACTATTTTAGAGCAATATCTGGCTAGAGTGGGTCCTTACAGTGTTTGTAGAGACTGTCATAAAATTAGGATATGCTGTAGTGGCCGCCACCACCTTCACATACCCAAGATGAAGGTGTAAGGCTGGGTACTGGATCTGCTCACATGTGGTCCAGGTCAGCAGTACACGCTGGACCACGTGGAGACTAGCGGGAGCCTGGCGCTTGCCTCTGCTGCATCTCATGGAGCCCAGTCATGGCTGCAGGTCTCAGCTGCTGGCCAGAGGGGCACTGGTTGGAATGCTAGCCAGACGGGATGTGGCCTTCCCTCGGGGGGGGGGGGGGGAGTCTGCCACAGGGCAGAAGGGTCTCCATCGGCCAAGACTGGGTGCCCACCCCTGCTTCCACCACCACCCATGTAGCTACTCGCAGGTACATACAGGTCAGCACGGCTGGGCAGCGGTTCTTGGCCAAGTTCTCTTCCCTCTGGGCAGCAAGTGAGCTGCTGGGCTCTGCTTGGTAGGCGCACAAAGCCTCCCACTCCTTCTCCAGCCGGTTCTTGTTCTGCAGGTGGTCCTCCATGTAGGCCTGCAAGGGAGCGGCAGTGAGGAGGGTGCACAGGGCACGGAGCATGGCATTCCTGATCCTGTGGTTCTCTCTGGACTGTGAATCCTGGCACATCCAGTTTAGAGCACACAGCTGAGCCAGACAAAGCTGGAACAGAAAATGCACAAGGCTGAGAGAGAGTGGCTCTGGGCTGGAGTAGATGGGGAGGGCGCTGGCACAGGATGATGGTCAGGCCAGGGTGCTGCACCAGGGGATGTGGGGACAGTGCATGGGGAAGTGGCATTGAGCCAGGGCTGCAAGGGCAGTGGCGCTGGTGCCTGGAAACATCCTGTGGACACTGCTGCCCACATGAGCAGGCACGGTCCACGGAGAGGAATGGCCCTGGATGGACTGAAATGCGTGTGTGAAGCTCCACAAGGTGAGATCTCCCAGTGAACTGAGTTCACTAATGGACGTCTCACGCTCTAGTCACTTGATTTTTCCTCTTTCTGAACATGAGCTGCAAACAGACGTGACCTGGTAGGAATCCCTCCAAATTTTCTATTTGACAGACAGGAAGTACAGCACTGGCCAGCAGTTGGGAGTTGCACTAGAGCCTGGGGTGGGGACTCAGTCTCTAGGATGCCTGTGGCCCAGAGAAGGTGGTGGTGATACACTGGGCACAGCCACAAGGCTCCTGCACTCCAGATGACCAGTGTGGCCATGTCCTGAAGTTTCCCAGGACACCCATTTCATAAGAAGCCATCTCTCAGGGAAAGTGCCCACATACATCCTGTGCATGCCGAGACGGGCCAGCGTGCGAGACGCCTGCATGCACACACACTGTCTGTGTGAGAGCACAGGGATAAGACAGGGGTTTGGGAACTGGTTTACCTCAGAGACAGCGAGAGTCACCAACCATTGAATGTGGCGCATCCCTCATTTGCCCCTTGTCCTATTGGTATCTACACCAGCATGCTTTCTTGAAAATGGGCATGCTTCTCTGACCCTGCCGGGCATGCTGCTCCTAAGGCCCCTCGTACATAGAGCTGTGCCTGTGTTAAGAGGTTGTAGCACCAAGAGACAGAGATTCAACCCTCGCTGTTCTGATCCTAACTGTCCTGGCTCTTGCTGCAAACCTTGAGTGCTAAAAGCATGTAGGACACTGAGGCTCTAAACTCCCCACCACGGACTTCATGTAGCCAGCATGATAGCTCATTCCTTAATGAGCCGTTTGGTCGATACTCAGTTGGGACTCAGGAAGCTTCTCAAAGACCATGCCACTCTGGTATCTGCATGGGAACAGCCTGTCTCTCCATGCTCTTGGGGTTTTGGGTGTGCCCCCACAGGACAGGAAAACACAGGTGCATGTGTGTGCCTGCATGGGTATGTACAGGCAGCACCCAGAGGCCACCTGGAGTCTACACCTCCTCCCCTGTTGCCTCCCCATCCCCTGACATCCCCACTGTCCAGGGAACCAGATAGATCCTTGAAGCCTCTCTGCCCCTGGTGCCCAGAGCAGGAAGACTGAGCAGCTGTGTTGGGACAGGACAGAAAGGGTCCTCATTCAGACCTCACCCACCCCCCTTAGCAAGCATCCTCTCCCCTCTGGTCTACAGTGCCAGTTCCTGGCAGGTATGGCCCAGGAATCAGACTACAGATGGCATATGGAGCCCTTGCTTGGGAGAGTTTTGGAGCTTTGGTGAGACACATGGCAGGACAAATTTGGGACACTGAGGCGTCTGCTTGAAGGCTTGGCTGTCACCACCTGTGGCCCTGCATGAGCCACTCTCCACATCCACTGCTCCTGCATCCCGCTGTGCTCCAGTACGCCCAGGGTGGAGCAGGCTCCCATGGAGATGGTCTATGTGGAGAAATCAAGCAAAATTCAAGGCAAAATTCTAGTGGCCCCATCTAGAGAATGGAGGTCACATACTGTTTTCACCCAAGCCAATCATTATGGAATATCAAATGCTCCTTCTCGTGTCTTCACATAGGAAGTCCTATGGCTGGCTGCACTGTCTAAATTCTGCGACAACAACAACCAGCTCAAACCTGAAGCTGTGTAGCTCCTGAGGCTTTGGAGTTCCTGAGGTGGCGCAGTCCAGGCAGGTGTGCAGCCACTTTCCTCGGCCTGTGGTGGAAGATCCTGTCCTGCTGTGCTTTGGAAATTGCTCTTTTCACCAAAGTCACATTCATACCTGAGTCTCCCAGCAAACTCCAGGGATCAGCAGGTCTGGGTCCTCCCAGCTGTCACCTGCAGGGGGGCCAGGGGCATCTAAGTGTCTCTGCACTGTGCTGCTTAAATGCCCACATTTATCTTCCCTAGGAAAAGTGCAATCATGCACATTTGTATGAATTTCGAAAATCATGGCAAGAAATCTAAAGTGAGCATCGGGTCAGAAAGCTCAGCAATGGGAAGGAAGCCATGGATGTTGATATTATTCTTCCTGAGAAGTCAGGCATCCACAGGTGAATTTGATTATATTAAACAGAGCCAAGATCTTCACTCATACTCACTGCTCTGCCAGACTGCTGGCACTGCTCCGTATGCCCCAATTCACTATGTTCTGTGTTTTTCTATTAACAGTCTTAGAAACCATCATTCATTATAAGAAACTGCTATGATTGCGCAAGCCACATCCGAATCCCCCCCCCCCTTCTGTGGTTTGTGGGTAAGACGCCTCTCATCTGCCAATCTGTGGTGAAGCTGGCCTTTGTGGTGAAATAACACATTTTAATCAATAAAGCAAAACTAGAAAATGCCACAGTCACTCAGCGTTCTTCCAGGATGCAAGCAGCCAGAGCCAGCATGGAGTCAGCCTTGCTGGCCGGGCATCAGTGGGACGTCAGTGACGTGCAGCCCCTGCACGTGAGCATCAGCTGGAGGTGCTGGGATGCAGACACCCAAATGCTTTTACTTCATGGAGGACTATGCGTGGTGGGGGCACGGGGCAGGAGAGCTTACCTTCTAAAAGCCTGCAACGTCTTTGTCATATAAATAGGACATGTGGCAGAGAATAGAAAACCAAGACAAGAATGAAAACAGAAGCCTCCAATAACGTGAGCACCCAGAGCAGTCTCCTGGGCTTTCAGGCCCAGCCCTTCTGTGTGCTTGGCCTGGCTTGCTTTCTGTTCAGAGCTGAATACTAACCATTGTTGATGGTTGGGGTATCCTCAGTATTACAGATTTCTCTTATTTGAGATGAAAATATGTGGATAAGAGGCTGACAGTTTACGCACGGAGGAATCAGAGAAAGCAAATAGTTGATCCTTGGCCCTTGCAGCAGTGGTAACTGTGGCTTGAGCCTGGATTCAGAACACACAGAAGGCTTTGCCCTGGCTGGGCTCCTGATGTCATGTCAGCCTCTCATTTCCTGCATCACAGAGCAGCAGGTTAGCACGGCGGCTTCTCTGTGCAGAGCACAGGGTACCTGCACCAGGGGCAGCGCTGAGCTCAGAACACATGAGTTCTCGCACACAGTACCTGCAGCAAGTATGACTGGGGTCAAGCAGAGGGACAGAGCAATGACAGCCCCTGCAGCCCTGGCTGCCCCTTCCCCTGTTAAGCCAAGAGCTTTTGTCTTTCCAATTTACAGCAAATCCTCTCTAGCTTCTGCTCTGCACACACAGGTGACCAGCATTTGTGACCCTTGTGCTTTGGAGCCATCACTAAGTGAAGGTTCCCAAACACCAGCCCACAACACCACGCATTCAACCTGAAAACTGCAGCGGGTGGCGCGTACTGTGTGGAGATACTAGAACGAGGCACAGTCCTGCCCTGGGCAGGACGGGTGGGAAGGCTGGAGAGTCTACCCTGCTCCTCAGAGTGGCTGCGATTTGAAACTCAGAAACTGATTTCTGGAGTTTTCCAGATATTTTCAGATCATAGTTGACCATAGGTGGTTGGAATCTCAGAAAGTGAGGCTGGGAGTGAGGGGAGATGCCGTGTTCCTGTGAAAAGTATGACTTTTGACAACCAGCAAGGGCCAGGTGTGGTGTGTACGCCAGGTAACCTCAGCCACCCTGGAGGCTGAGATGCGATGATAAAGGTTCAAGCCCAGTTTGGGCAACTTAGTGTGACCCTGTCTCAGAAAAAAGTAACAAACAAAAAAGCCTGGGTATATTGCTTAGAGGTAGAGCATCCCTGGGCTCCTGTACCCCTGCAGGAAAACACACAACACACAGACAGAAAACCCCAAGCCAACCCATCATGCGTGCACACGCTAGCACTGTGCTCTGTCCAGACTATTCACTGACTTGCTGCTTTGTGTCCCAGCGCGGCCCGTCCCCACTGCCTGCTCCCTCACCCTCAGCTCTGGCCTTGCTCCTGGTGATGCTGCCACCTCGAATCCTCCCTGAATTCCAGCCCACTCTTCAGCCCTGCCCCATGGCATACCTTCTTAACAACTGCCTCTCCCACTCCGTCACCATAGCCTCAAGCTCTTTGACGTTCATTGTTTTCTAGGGTGTGGACTGCATTTCAGTCCTTCGCCCGGCTTCCGGGTGGCCTGTGAGTAACCTGCACTGCAGATTAATGTCTCATATTGGTGATGGGTACCAAGAAACAAGGACTCCAAGTCCTCTGAAACTCCAAGTCCTAAAACCAATACCTCAGGAATGTTGATGTCTTATGACACAATTCCTGCGGTGTTCTTCCTTCCTGGGTTATTCAGAGCCATCTTTAAACCCACGCAAAGGGTGGCTCCCACCCTGGGCCCCAGTCATAGCCTCAAAGTCCATCCAGGCCCAGTTGGGGCCGTGTCCTTTAAGGCTTGCCCTCCTGTGCACATGGCAGGACCCTCCTTTGGCTGGGGTGGAGCGGCCCTGTGTGGAAGGGCTAAGATGAAGAATGTGAGGTTGCCAGGCCTGGGTGAGCAGCCAGGATGCCCCACCAGGACTGACGTGCCTGGGACTAGAAATGAAGAACTGGAGCTCGAACTCAGGTCTGCAAGAAGCACTAGGGGCTGTGTGGTGGTACACCTTGATCTCAGAGTGCCACGACCCACTGGCGCTTGTGAGTTCTGAAGGGCTCTGGCACT